TGTGGCCTAAATAAGCTAAACCCCCCTCCCTTACCTTATTTAGGCCATATGTGGCCTAAATAAGCACTCCCTTACTTAATTGAATGGAGTGTATGTATTATTGTATGGTGAATGTCTACTTTGCATGTGAACTTTAATGTGCATGCATAATAAATGTTTTCGCTTTGTATGTGGGTGTACTGAAGTGATTTTGTGTATATGTATGTTTTTATTTTGTATAGCACATACATAGAGAGTGTAAAGGAAAGGAAAAGAATTCAGACCTTGTCATAATACATTATGTTTAAACATGTGTACTGCCGAGTTGTTGTTTAAGTACCTTTGTACTCAATGCAATTGTATAGTGCCTTAAGGTGTGCATTTTCTTTTTTGAGCAGATTAAAGTAGGGTCCCTACGTTCAACTTTTGTGAACTGTCATTCAATTGACCAGGGAACTATAGTGTCATGATAGATTATTTTATGTGCTTTTGATCTCCATGATATCATTTGGGTTAATTCTAGCTCTCAACGATTGGCAAAACATTTTGAAGTCATGGTTTAAGATTATTTGGAAGTGTAGTTTGTCTATCTGCTGTGTGGGAAAATATCGATCGTACTCTTTAAGAATGTTCTGTGATTAATGGTTCAAAGGCATGAAATACACATTTTATTTTCTATGGACAATACTGGATTCAGAGACAAATGAAAAGAGTCATAGTGTTGAAAAAAAAAAAAAGGTTGTTCTGGGAAAGTAACGTAGAGGTTTCTGTTGTCTCGACGTCAGTTTTAAAAGATTAAATTCAGTGACAGTCTTTGTGAATCATAATGTATAATTATTCAGGTTATTACCTAGGAAGTACCTTTCTGTGTCTTCCTCAGGTATTATAAGCTTATCAAAGACCTGTCCCTACCTGCAGATTGTGTACTTGAGAAGGAACATTAATCTCACCGATGATGCCATTTGCGCATTGTCAGAAAACTGTCCTATGCTGCGTGAGCTTAATGTTGGTGGGTGCATTCTCCTCACAGACTCTTCGCTGAGGGCGTTAGGGGAGTCCTCAAAAAGTCTCAAGTCCTTGAATATAATTGCAAGCCAGGTGAAATATAATTACTATTGTTTCAATTAACTTTGAGGCAATTAGAACTTAAAGTGTGAGTTTCCATTTCAGCCAAAGGCTCACTACAACTTCACAAGAAGTCCTTTGGTCAGCCTCTTCATTCCTTGTAATTGTCTCAAGTATCAAATCTTTTGGTGTGGGGTTCTCACGGTCTAGGAGTTACGGTGTTCACCTCTCATTCAGTAGGTCCCGGGTTCGAAACATGTTAGCGACGGAAAATTTTCTCCTTTCACTTCTTTTCCTGCTCTCTTGCCATGTTCTGTCGTCTGCTTTCATCTCCACTTTCTTCCCCCATCTCCTCCCCCTCCTCTGAGCTCCTGGCTCTTTCCCCAGCCTTTCTAATGCTACTCCTTGGCTTCTTCTTACTACTGTCTTTCAGCCACTCCCTTAATCTTAGAGTAGGGAAGATCTAACATCTAGCCTTCTCGGAAACAGGGGGAAAATATCTGAGGTTGCGTATGTAAGTTGCGCACATGAACCTTTGCCGGAAGCCGTGTGCCAAAAATGGGACAGGGCATTTTAAATTTCATTTCATTCTGTTGTGGCTAGCTTCATGTCTATGAGCTGCAAAGAATACCTCTAGTACTCAATTTCAGACATTGAAACAATGGCCATTAGAAGTTTTGATCTCAAGTTTTGAAATTGATTACCATCTCTATCCTACCCTGTATTCGTATGTCGTGTACCGAGAATGGCACACACTGAAAAAACTGCAGATCCTAGGCAAATACATACGTAAAGTGAGCACGGAGGGTCATGAAGATATAAGTTTTATTTTTAGCACGCACATGTGTTGCTATCTAAGGGTCCCGTTATCTAATGATGGGGAGGCTGTTGAGCGTGTAGTAGGGTTGTGTACTGAGCGTGTAGTAGGGTTGCGTCCTGAGCGTTAAGCCAAACTCCAACATGATTCAATTCAAAGTAATATTTCCAGTTTAGTCACCCTTCCATCTAGAAACAGTTCTCCACTCTCTCTTTAATGGTCGCTATCTTGGAAAAAGTTTGGAATGCTCTCTTTTTTTTTTATGAGTTACGATAACTGTTCCAAAATTGGTACTCAACGTACGCTCTGCATAGTAAATATACCGACGTACGGTAGAGGTTTAAGATTCCTTGGTTGTCCAAAATCATTTAGAGTAGGCTTCAGTTGCCACCCAGGCAAAATTCAAAATGAACTCCTACCAAATTGAAAATGTTTAAATTTGTGTCCTGCGCGTTCATGTGACCTTAAGCAGTTGTGAATACCGTAGTACACTTACCAAAGCAAAAAAAAACACATTACGCACTTTAAGCTGCTCAACTGTGTTGGAGCTGGTATGAATTAAAAATAAAGCCGCAAATTGATACATTGTCATTTTCAAAGGTTAAAATTAGGTTGTAATATGAAAAACACTTGGTCTAGCATTTTGATGGTCCATTTCTGTCACAGCACGCTTTCTGTTACCTGGTATGAAGCTAAAAATGGTTCATCTAAAGTCAAGTGCTTCTGCTACGGAGGCCACCAAAAAAAAACCTCTGTTTTATGCGCTGAATCTGGATTGTAAATGTTTAACATCCACCCCAACAACATTTAGATAATTTAGGAGGATCATTCTTCATCCCAGGTTTTCAGGGATAACCCAGGTCGAGTGCGATACATCTCAGCAGACAGATGGAAGTGCTTGCAAAAATAACTTCACCATGGGGGGATTGCACTCGTGTCTTCTGCAAAGAGCCCAACTGTCACTCGAAATATTATGCTGATGCATTTGATGCTTATCAGTCTCTGGGTGAACCATTAACATACATAGGGTGCAGCTTAGTAGCTTTGTTATCATGACTGGAGAAAATTGCTTTTTGCCATTTGTAGCTCTGCTTTTTCCTCTGATGCTGGGAGCCATTGATTTTATGTGTGTGTGTGTGTTTTGGGCTGGTGTGTGTATGAAGAACTGTTTGTCGTTGTTTTTAGTTTGGATTAAAAAAATTTTGGGAGGGGGATTATGTACTTCAGAGAGTTTGATCAGTTGATTAATATATTTTTATTTTCTTTCACTAATGGTATACAATATACTTCTCCCAGGTGACAGATGATGGAATACACAGCTTGTGTCAAGGTGACTGCTCTCAAGTTCTCACAGTAAGTCACTGATTTGTGTGAGTGGTGCAGAAGAATTTGCACTAAGGTGCTTTTGTCTGCAGTACTTTTTTTTACCTTTGTAATGTAATTTAGCCCTTTTTACCCTGTCCTAAATTCACAGAACGGGGGGAAATTATCCTCTAAAATACCATCACACTGTGTGTGTTATAAAAACTTTATTTAACTCTTTAAAGTATCAATTACAGTCGAACCTGTTTAAGACGGAATCGCAAGGGAGCCAGAAAAAAATTCCGTCTTACACATTTTGCGTCTTAGACAGGGGAATTTAGGGGGAGATGGAGGTTGGGGGGGGGGGGGGCGTTCTAAGGCCCAGTTGGTTGGATCAAGGATCGCTTGTCCGATCGGCAAGTAGTGGTCAAAACTTATCACCTCTCAGCTGCTATCCTCTCTGATAATGACATGCTTCAGTCTTACTTATCCAATTACCACCAGTGCTTGCATTTCATAGGACCACTGTTTGACCTATGAAAACAGGAACGTTTGAACATCTCCTTAGCTTCCACCCTTAGCCCCACCCACCAAGGCCACCCCTCACTGCCATCATGTAACAACGATTTGAGGAACTCTTTTCTCAGCTGGCATTGGTCAATCTAATTTCACACCTCTGGCTTCTGGCTACCCAAGAAAGTTTCCTTAGTGGCTCGCAACTCGAGCACTCTCACGGGCAGTCGTGAGATTTCACACCCACACTACACTGACCATCTGCATCCCTCAGGGCTCACATGATGGGGTAACATCTACCCCCAAATTGCACCCCTACTCCCCTTCCTCGCCCAGCGGCATGGCCATAGCGTTACGTTTAGAGCTGTCGGAACCAAACTTGCGAGTTTTGTTTCAAATCAGGGTTGAGCGAGCAAAGCATTTTCCGTCTTAGACGGTGAAACCCTCGGAAGGGAGCGGATTTTTCTTTCCGTTTCCGCGTTGGACAGGTTTCCGTTTTATACAGGTAATTAAAGAGGAATATATCAAGGGGGGAATGGGGAGATTCCGTAAAGACAGGTTTCTGTTTTACACAGGTTTCCGTTAAGGCAGGTTCGACTGTATTAAGGAAATGATGTGGGAAAAAATGCAATTATGTTAGGAAAAGAGCACTGGTTCTAACAAGCCTATTTGTAATGCAGTGCAGTTCAGACAAGTTATTTATTTCTCCCTCTTGGTCTATAGTTGTGACAACTGGTTTGCTTTTGTTACCCATCTGTTTCATCAAATTAAGAAATGATGTAATTACTCTAGTGAAGTCAAAATATGGTGGACTATTGTTGGAGATTGTAAAATGAACTTTCAAGGGTATTGTTTCATCAGGATCACTTCATGGACTGAGCCTACTGTGCATTTTCAAAGTTTTTCTTTTTTAATTTGTCAAAGTTTTCATCTACTTTGTGTCCCTTGGTTCTAAAGAAATCAATAAAAAATCTGGTATCCCTTGTGCACTTTTGTCAGTCGATACCACAAACTTTTCATGGTTACAGTGATTCATTTTCCTACCACTATCGGCATTATACCCATACTGTTACATCCCTTGATTTTCTTCACTGTTTCTTTTATTTTTCTTAAAGTGAATTTATTAAAATTACTGACGTGCCAAGCACTTTTGTTAGTGCGGACATGTTCAAGATATCTATACTTGATTTCATATTGTCAGCGGAGAACTAGAGGTGACTGTCTAGTTTTCTTCTTTATTATTATTTTTTTTTATTGACTGTTATGTCAAGGTCTAAACTAAAATCCCTCTGACGTGGACACATGGGGAACTGTAACTGATGCAAAACGTCTGGGCAGTTTAGTTTTATGTTAACAGATATGGTAGAATGTTATGTGAGTGCCTCAATTTTGCTAGCTTTGGCATTATAGAGCAAAATGGATAATCATGTCTGTGAGTTGTTGGCCGGTGTTCTGGTGTGGTTTTCTCCTTCTTTCTTATCAAACATCTATTGTCCTCATCTCTCCTCCTTCTTTTTATGTTTGTTACTTTCCTGTAACACCTCCGATCATCAGCTTTTATGACTTAATTGTGTAACAAGTGCCGTAAAACACTTACTAAAACTAAAACAGGTTTGGCTCTCTGCCGATAATGTATCCAGGGGAAGAAAGTGTAAGCAGTACATGCCTGACATGTCGACTTCTGCCTTTTCAGGAGATAGACATGAGCGGCTGTAAACATCTGACAGATGAAGCTGTGGAGCTGCTCCTACAGTCCTGTCCTCAGCTCAGGATACTTCTCTTTGCCAGATGCCCTGGTATCACAGGTATGAAACATGGTACACTTTTCATTGCCTCAATGCCCAGTGTCATTGGAACCTTAATTAAATTTTGCTTTTTTAATTTGAGTTTAGAGACGCACATCAATAAGATAATGACCATCTAGTGCAGGAAAAAAAAAAGCAAAATAGACCTACAAATTATGAAAAACAACTGATGGAAAGAAAAATAAGTTGACATGATACTTCTCATAGAATCAATACTTACCAGCTAAGTGCAAGTTGACAGCAAACTATTGGTAGGGTATAGAATTGTTCTTTCTCTTTCAAGTATTACAGTTATACAGGCAGTTATGTAAGCATGTCCCTGTACTGGCATACTTTTTTTTTCCTTAGACTTAGAGGAAGACACATAGACTAAATTCTTTTTAATGACTGCAAATTATTTTTTTTCATCATGATCAAAGTTTTATTGTCTTCCTTAAGGGAATCCGCGGGTCTCGATCCTCTAGAAAATCGGGTATTTGCTATAAAAAAATGGAACTTCGAGTATTTGGATATTCTTACAGAAAAATAAGTCGAGAATCCGTTTGTGAAGGTCCCAAAACCTAAAGAGGCCTCTAATATATATAAAAATGTATTTGAAAGCGGTAGGGTGGGCAAAAAAATTCAACAAAATGTCAAGAAATGCTAAACTTTACCCCTTGACAAAAACACTTTCCGTGGCTGCAAGGTAATCAAGTTTGGTATCGTTGGAAAGGCCGTGATAAGAACTATTCAATTATTGCACTTTCGTTTTCGTACGGAACTACTCTGGGGACCCATTTAGGTATGTTTGAAGACCCCGTACCAAATACCCGTTGGCCACTCCCGTCACGTGACCGGACCATGAATTTTCATTCGCCGAGCCGGTAGCAACGAAGGGGATTCCCCTCTCGGGCCATTGTTTACGCTGTGTGCCGCAAGACAAAACGTGAACGTTTTCGCTGCATTTCAAAGAGTTTTCTGTCGTGTTGCTGATTTCAACGCTAATAAATCTTGTTTACAGGCTGAATGATTATTGTTATCATCTCCATTTGCAATTCTGTGTAGTATTTCGGCCCGACAAGGCCTACCGAACGCATGCTCCTTCTTTCGTCTTCTCGTCTGTCTATCTGATCGTGATTTGATTCGAGATGTCTTAGTCTTAGTCGTTTTGAGTGAGCTAATACAGGATCTAAACTGTTGAGATTATACGTATAATACATAATAGCATACTTTCCATGATTATGTGGCTGGGGATCTACAGATCTAAGTTGTGCTTGATCGACAAAGTTATAGAATTAGAATCTAGATCTAGGATAGATTTAATTTGTTTTGATGGCTTCCCTAGCCTCTCCAGTTGTTCGCAGTGAACAAGTCTGTTTAGCGTAGATCTAGCAATAGAAATCTCTAAGGCCTAGTGTTATTTAAAACAATTTTTTTGCTTTATTATTATTGAGGTTTTTTAAATCGGAGACCAGTGTTCCCAAAGCCGGTTAACCCCTTCAAGCAAGATTGAAAGAATCGACTGTGCAGAAATATATAGATAGGATAAAATAAATTGAGAAAATATACAGATCTAGATAGTATCATGTAGTGCCAGCTTACAGTGTGCCTTTCTTGGTTGCATAGTCTTAGATTCCACCATTGCAAAACCAAAACACATGGGAAGAAAATGAAGGGGAGGTGGCAGCTTTTTGGGGGGGGGCTCAACAAAGTCTCGACTCTTCTAATTCTAAGAAAGGCAGTCACCTGCCAAATCATTTAAAGATTTCTTAATGTGGAAAAGACTAACAACAAACTCAATTTACCTAAACAATTCAGTATGGCAACATTAACATATAAATTTAGACAGGCATGTCAGCATGCAAAATCTTTGTTCGCGTTTTTCTCGGAATGACTTTTCTGCCAAATCTGCGGCACTATTTTGATTAGATCTCAGAAAGTTACTGTCAGAGTTGGTTGAAATTTTCACACAAGCCCTTGAATGTCCTATTACCTTACATAGATATTTTAGCTTCTTCTCCCATTTAAGAACAGAAACTGAAAGACAAATGAGAGTTTACATTCTTGGGGCGGAGATTCAATTGTGAGAGGACAGTTGGGGGGGGGGGGGGGGGATTGGAATTGATGTAAAAACTTGTCAAAAAAGCTTTTTAAATAGCCTGTGCGGTGTAAACGTGGTGTATGTTGCTGAATAATGTTGGAGTTTAGTGAAAACCGAGATGTCTGTGATTGCACAACGTTTCGAAAACTTTGTTTGCGTTTTTCTCGAAATTGCATTTTCGGCTAACTGGTAACTTTATAGAAAGTGTATCTCAATAACTAACAGTCAGATTTCATTGCAATTTTCACACATTATTCTCAAGATAAGTGCCCTCCTCCTTACAAGAGCACTTTTCCTGAATATTGATTCTGTTTTGAGTTATTTGGCATTTTTGCGTTTCAGCATCGCCTAATATGGAATTCTGAACCTTGGTCAAAGTGAGGGTAAAATTTGGAAAACATATGATAGATATTTGAAATCTGATTCTGTAAGGAGAAGCAAGCAATATATATATCATATATACCAAGTATTAGCTTCTATCTTTATTGGTTTTGTAGAAACACTGTTTATAAAATATAAAGAAATTTTGCTGAATCAGCTCCATTTTTTGCCGCCTCAAGCACAAAAAAATAAAAATTTGTTGGTTTTTTTCACAAAACCTCTTTTTTAAAGTGTAAGTATCCATTGATGCATACAAAGTGGCTACAAAATGGTTGGAACTGAGTTTTGACGTTTTCATTAGCCACCTCCCCTTAAGTATTTTACTTTTTTGACAATATAAGTCAGATATATTTTGCTTTCCTAATCAAAAGGTACACAGTTGAAAAGTTCTTTCTTTTTTAAATATCCTAAAAGTTTCTTATTCTTGGTCTCTTCATTTCTTCAATTCTTTTACCACAGAGAACTCGAGGATTGCTCTGGAAGAAAAGCTTCTTTCCACCGAGGGTGCCCAGATGAAACAAGTGTCTTGGACAATCTACTGACCAAACTGTCCGCACTCCATCCTGATTACAATGATATGTTGACAGTTGACCACAATGACCAGCTGTTGCTGACTAAATGTCAAAGCTGAAGCCCTTATCTTTACCTTTGGCGCCAGGTTACACTTACAGCTGCTCAGGTTGAGGCCATGTTTTTGTTTCTAATCACATGAATAAGTAATAAATAAGGAAATCGTTTTTGTGCTCGTTGCCATAAAATATTTTTTTGCTTTCATTAGAGATGAAGATATTTGAAAAATGTTTTGTTGTTCTGGTAATGGAAAGGAAATATTAAAATGGTTTTATTTATATGAGCTGAATAAAGTACATAAATCATTAAATATTTATTAGTGAAATTGAGATTAAACTACTTAAGATCTTAAATGTCTATTATGACTTTAAACTAAATAACTGTGAAGGAAAAATGAATACCCTAAATATGTAGAAGGCACAAAGAGGTCAAATAATCTCTCGTCTATCAAAATGTCTGTCAGAATATTCAAAGTGGTCTGTGTGAAGTGCTAGCCTTGTTCAGGGGCACTAGTCTCACACTCCACCTATGAGGAGGCAGTTTAAAGGGCCTATTACACGTACAGGCCGACCGGACAGGTTTTTGACCGTAGGCAGTCCGTACGGCAAGATGAAATCGAGGAAACTTGGTTTATCATTACACGTCACAATTGACCTGAAGGCGGCAGCACCTCGCGAGCAACGTATTATACACACTAGGACTAGTTTGGGTGAAACTCCATACGTGTGTGCACCATGGCGCGCAAAATATAAAAAACGTGCTGGAATGGAAAGTCCTTAAATACAAAACGAAACATGTCACTCGCGAGCGATTTCCCTAATTTTGATACCGGCACGCTGATTTTGAATCTGGTATTATTTTTTATTGTCTATGATGTGATTTTTAATAATTTTGAAATTAATTCAGTTGTCCCTGGCGCAGCAAACTTCAAAAGCCGGATGGCCGGACGTGAAACTCACAGGCAGTGGCTGTGGGTTTTTTACGTCCGGCCGGACGGACATTCGGCAGGTGTTCGCCTATGGTTTGAGCCACATTTCTTATTACATGGTATGACTGGCCGTACGGCCAAGTAGCTTGTCCGGTCGGCCTGTACGTGAAATAGGCCCTTTACTGGGAAAGCTCTGACAGCAGTGTTGAGGTTAAATTTTTACAGATTTCACAGAAATTAAGTCTATATTTGGGGTAAAAAATTTTTCTCAGTTTACACAAGTGACTGTAATTTCTAACGTTGATGACTTTTTCAGTTTGTGAGGAAGGAAGAAAGTGGGTAGAGGTGGTAAATGAATTCAGACTTTCAATCAAAACACTGACAGTGGTCATTTTTTTTCTCTGTTTACACAAGTGACTTAAAAATTTCTAATATTGAGGACTTAGTTTCGGTTTGTTATGAAGGTGAAAGGGAAAAAGGGATAAATGTAAATGAATTCCAACTTTCATTCGAATCACTGTCTGTGGGCAGTCAATTGTCAGATACCTTATGCAGTGAGTTGAGAACTTGTTTTTGCTTAAATTCTGTGATTGTTTCATTGGCATGTTAGGTACAGATTCTTGATTTTTGCAAAGAAATGCTTAACCATCTGCTATGCTAAAATGTTGAACGTTGAAAACAGAATGTGTGATAAAATATTCCTTTTTTATGCTCTTTTATTGTAGTTTTTATATTATATGCCAGTTTAATACAGTGGAAACCATATATAACAGGCCCGGTAATAACAGGGATTTTTTTAATCCCCATTTTTCCTACTCTTTGTCTCTATTACAAGTTATCGGCAATAACAGGGCCTCATCGAGGCCTAATCGGTTATAGCCGGGTCAAAGGCTCATTACCATTGTGTAAAAAGTAAAGAGAGAGAGAGAGAGAAAGGCAGAAATGGAGCAAGCCCACGCAAGCCTAGCCACAGCAAGCACACGCAACGGGTGAAGCGAGAGAGGGCTACAGTGCGCTGCAGACTTCGATCTAGCCCTTAGCCTAGCTACATGCACACTTAATGTGTTATGCGCAGGCCTGCCACATGGCCAAAACCCCTGATCATGGGAAGGGAAACTACTACACATGAATAAATACACCTGGATTAGTCCAAAAATGCTTACTTCCCTTCCATTTTTGATTTAACAGGGTTCTGATATAACATAACTTTTTTCTGGTCCCATCCCTGTTATATCTGGTTTCCACAGTATGTTGTTTGGTATCTGTATATATTTATACATGTACTCAGGCATTTCAGTGTATATGCACGGACAATGTACATGTATGTGTGAGCGGTGGTATAATTTAATTATGAATGGTCTAAACTCAGTGTCTTCAGTCTCAATATTCTTTCTATTTGTGATTTATAAAAGCATTATGAGATGAGTTTGTATCAACTGAATGTCATTCTTTATACCGAAATACTGATTTTCTTACCATTGCATATATTATGACAACTTTCAAACGATGTTATGCTTGTCATGTCAACGGGTAGAGGAGGTGATAGTTTTCATGTAAGTCTTTCTAGTACTTTCGATCACTACCTTGGGAGATTGAAACTAAAAGTATCTGTAGTTAAGACTTATGACAGTACAATGTCATTACCTTTCTCTTTCTTGATTGTCCATTATTTTGCTGAACAGGCCTACATGATCCCTGACAGCCTTCTGTGACTGTCAAACGTTCATTGGCTAACCATCACACTGTTGTCAAGCGTGGTTATTTCGCTGTTTATACACTTTTCTCTTTATATGCTGTATATGAGATTTTATAAAATTTACATTTATTGATCTCAAAAGGGAATTAAAGTAAATTTGACATACACATACAAGACCTGTTACATTTTTTTACCATCAAATATTACATACATGCATTACACATTACAAATAGAACTTTGGATAATTTGAGGTCATCATTGCGGAACCATCTTTATCTAAATTGTTTTAAACCACACAGCTTCCAAAGGTCCTTAGCCCTTTCTCCCACAGAGCTTCCTCCCTCTTTAGCTACCAAGGTTATATCCCACAGCTAATTTATCCCATTTTACATTGCTGCTAGCTTGTTTATCATTCATGTACACATATTCTATCTTTTTCTTTATCTATCATTCCATCCACCACATTCCTCTGGCTCCTGAAGTATTATATTATTACATTAGTACAAATAATTTTGGAGGGAGTTGGTTTTCCCTGACTCCATCATTGAAGTCCTTTTTTTTTAACAGACAAAAAAGCCATAAGCACAGGCAAGCAAAATGTCACTGAGCTCCCACCTGCTTTCATTGGTTTGTGGTAGTATAACTAAGTAGTAATAATGGCTTGATATTTAAGGGTGAGAGAGTACAGGATTTTGCTGTCCTTTTGAATAGGGCTTTAACAACTACATGTATGAAAGTATAATTCATGTAGGTCTATACCAGTCCATTTTGTACCTCTGCAGTGCATGGTTTTAAATCAGAGGTTTCAACTGTCCTGCAGTAAACCTAAGAATATAATAATATAGATGACGCTGCACTGTCCTTGATAATGCTGATGTGCTAATAATGATGACAATGACAATGAAGATTATGATGGCAATGCTACTGATGCTACTGATTGTGGAGGCAGAGGCAGCAGTAAGGGTAGTTGGCTTTGTCATGAGGTCGCGCTGGTGATGCAGATTTCAATGGCAGAATGTGATTACTGCTCAAGATCTTGACAGTGCTACTGTAATGGCCGTGTATATATGGGTGAGATAGAGGGGGGTTTGGGGGCGAGGGGAAGAGAGAGAGAGACAAAGAGGCGGTGAGACAGACAGTGTTTAGACTTACAAAACAAGTCGAGCAAGATTGAGAAAGAGAAAAAAATAGGACCGCAGACACAGTTCGATGGACGCGCAATTTCGAGTCTTCCGTGTTCAACCTATCCGTGTGATACTGTATGTCCTTTACTTCCTTTGATTGCTTCTTCCACATTTCTTCAAACTTGCAGCAAACACTGCCTTGGAACTCTAAATCTGAACTTTTACCTCCTTACAGGATAAAACATCCTGGAGTACGTTTTTAAAAGTGGGTAAATTGTGAGTCCCGAGCCAAAAAGGATATTGGACAATTTCGTAATCATAGCAAAGATAGTTCAGCCTACGGTAAGATGCTGCAGTGGCCCAATTTTGTGAGGCACGTCGACTCCTAGCGCCACTAGCGGCAAGCGTGCGACAGTATGTAAACAAACACGGCGAGAGACTCGCAACGCTCTATGCTGTCTGCATTACGGGCCAGTTTTGTTCTGCGATCGGCCGTTCTAATTCCAGAGGAAAAACCAATTAATAATTGTCTTTCTTCAGATTCCCAAAGGACGAAAAATGGAAAGACAATGTATAATTGATTTTTTAATCTAGAGTTTAGATTAGAGCTAAACTAGAGAGACCAGATAGTCCAGCCTGTAAGCTTTGTTTACTCTCTGCAGCATGCATCCTTGACTAGGAGGACCAATGCTTTGTACTCTGCACTTTATTGTGTGAGGGCCCATTCCATTAGGTGTAGAACTAGATTCTAGATGTAAGTGTTATATAGATCTATGTGTTTTCTGTGTTGTAGGTTATTATGTAATTTGTTCTTTAGCACAACACAGAGAGATCAGTATTTTGCATATCAACTTGTAACTTTTTATGACGTATGGGCCATTGACCTCGAAAGTCAATAAAGTCTAATTCAATTCAATTCTCTCTTACCACACATACTCATACACACATGTACGCAGGCACGCACACACACACACACACACACACACACACGCGTGCGACCACACCATATGTCCTGACCACTTCTGTACATTTTATCATCATCACGGCCACCATCTCATCATCATCATCATCAAATCATTTTCATGTACATCACAAAAACCACCTCCACAAACATCCAGTGGCGGTGGGTGGACCAAGATTTGGGTCGGGCATAGGTTGGTTCCACTTCTTTATAACAAAACATCAAGCACTCAAGAGTGATGATTTTTCTATACTCACGGTGAGCCACGGCATTTTAAGTACCATTCAAACGGAGAATCAACTTTGTCTTCCATCTCTTTATTCTAAGTTAGCTCTAGAGTCTCCTGGATGGCGGGAACGAAACCGTTTCACATCCACATTTTTTCTAACTAATTTTCATCTGATGAAAAAATTGCCTGAAATATTCGTTCGACGTGATTTATAACACTTAAATCTCAGGAGCACACACTGCACCTCATGCATATTATCATTCCGTCTATGATGATGAGCTGGTTGCAGCTGTGTAGTCAAGGAAAATTTAACGCACCTAACGAAGGTCCAATGAGTGCATAGGTGACTGTGTCACTGGGGAAAGTGTCGTAAACCTTCACCCCGTTGTCAAGGCTAGGAGAGCGTGAGCCCTTAGAAAAGAGAGAGCGAGTTAATAAGACATATAGATTTAGATCAATAGATCTACTTCTACGTTGTATTCTTTGT